TGGTTGTCATCGACAGATTGTTGATACAGAAGACGCCCCTAAACAACGCGTTATATACAGAGATGTATAACACTGAAGTATTCGACACAAATACATTGATAAATAACTCGAATTCGTTTAAAACGATGTGTTATGTCCCAGGAAACATCAAATTCGAACTTTGTTGAAAAAGTGTAACTGTGCTTGTTTCGTACTATGGATAACTCGATGTTCGATTGACCCTTTTATTTCGAGTTAACTTTGTTCTACTATGTCATTTATTTGAAATGCGTGGGCTAGCACTATAGAAACAGTGATTAGTCCTAGTACAAGCAGCCACACCCACCCACGCAGACATATACGTGCATGCACACCGATATTTGTAAGTTCAATCCTCCATATCACCACAGTTTAGTTGTCAAGCGTCACGCATGTCTCACGGATGAGTCAGCATTGATATTGATGACTACAGCGCGTGTGCAGCGTTATACATCACCCGTTAACTCTTTGCACTCTACCCGTGAACATCCGGGTCCGAATAGGTCTTCAGCAACCCATGCTTACCGTAAAAGGCGACAATGCTCATCCTAATAGGCGACTGTTGGGATCGGGTGGTCAGGCTCGCTGACCTGGTTGACACATCTCCTCGAATCCCAATTGCGTAGATCGATGTTCATGATGTCAATCACTGGATTGTCTGGTCCAGAATCGGTTACTGACAGACCGCCGTCATATAGCTGGAATATTGCTGAGTGTGTCGTTAAACACAACAAGACAAGCTTTGCACTCAAAAGGTTACATCACGTTTACAATGAATGAACAAAGAATAGTAATGGATACGGCATGTGTTACATGTTGCTCGCATTCTAAAACAAAATAATTTAGGTTCTAACGTGCAAAGAGGTACCTTTTCTGCAAGATTGGTACATCAGTATTTGATAAAGCAAGGCATATATTTGCCATTTTCATCAGGTGTTTGGGGCGGTTGGGTAGCCAAGTGGTTATAGCGTTGGCTCGTCACGCTGAAGACCGGGTTCGATTCCCCACATGGGTACAATGTGTGAAGCCCTTATCTGGTGTCCCCCGCCGTGATATTGCTGGAATATTGCTAAAAGCGGCGTAAAACCATTCTCACTCACTCAGCAGGTATTTTGTTACCCAAGGCATGGAGAAGCTCCAGAGGTGAAATTTTGACAATGTCTCCCTGTGTTTATGCAGTTGCGCTGATCTGATGAACCATTTGCCTGCCGAAGGTAGTTTCTGTAAGTTATCGCTTTCGCTTGGTTCTATGTGCCCTCGCTGACATTGGTTTTTCCTCGTCTCTGTTTCGATAATAGATCAATCAAGATGCCTATACGTTATTGAAAAACGCTGTGTATTGTCAGAACAAACATGTCTTGAATGCAGCCCGTGGTCCGAGAAATTAGTTCCAGATAAACGTTGATTTTGTGTGAGAGCCAAACGTGTTTTTCACATTGTGAGAATTGAACCAAATTTTCTCCCAGTCACGACGTGTTAGAAAAAGTAGGTTGACATTAATCACACACATAGTCGTCAATGGAGATCGACGTCGTAGTATACAGCGTGATGGCAACGACCACACAGGCTGAAAATAGACAAAAGAAATGTAGGGTTTCTGAAAGTAGAATAATATTATGACATTCTACATTTGTATGACCGCCTTGTGGATACAGTGGTGTTTTTTTCTGTCTGTTGAAGATTACATACTTCTTTGCTCCTTGGTATACAGGTATAACGGTGTGTTTGGTCTGAGTTAAATCTATAGTGTATGCTTGTTATTCCCGACATGGGTACAATATGTGAAGCCCATGTCTGTTGTCCCCCGCTGTGGTGTTGCTGGAATATTGCTAAAAGCGGCGTAAAACCATACTCACTCACTATTATTCATAACAGATGGGTGGCCAGTAAATATTTTGGGCTTGGCACACCGAGGACCTGGGTTCGAATCCCAACGTTGGTGATGGCAATTTTTGTTTTTATTATTTGTATTTTGGTCATGAATATTGTTGAGCTGGTGTGAATAATGGACATGCACGTATACGTTTAAATACAGAATGTGGAACACGGGTTGGCGTCAGGCGTTACAAACACAACGTGGAAGGATGAAGAGTGCTTTCATTATGTTTTTGTTGTTTCCCTGCCTGGCGCCCGGAGTCAGTAGACTGAGTGGGTATCCATGTTAAACGGTGGCATGGTATCTCAGTGGACTCGCGCTGTAAAATCGGCATCAGTCCGGGCTAGTACAAGCAGACACACGCCTGCACGTTGCTCTTTTGTGCATTATTCTTGAACGCGACATTCACCTCACCTCACCCCCCTTTCACCTCGCCTCACCTCAACCTCACCTCACCCCACTTTCACCTCACCCTCACCCCACCCACTTTCTACTCACCTCAACCTCACCTCACCCCACTTTCACCTCACCTCACCTCACCCCACTTTCATCTCACCTCACCCCACTTTCACCTCACCACAGGGGGCACGGGTGGCCCAGTCGTCTAAGGCGCCGCGATTCGCTGTGCAGAGTTGCGTCCCTTGGGCACGCCAGAAACCTATGATTGTGGGTTCGAATCCCGGTTCGCCCCGATTATGTTCTAGGTTTGTCAGCACCATACCCGTGCTCGTGGGTTTCACCGAAGTGGTAAACGTCTGAGACCTGCATCACTTCGGGCTTTCCTCCCACATTAAGCTGACACGCCGTGATATAACTGGAATACTGTTAAAAGCGGCGTAAAACCCAACTCACTCACTCACTCACCTCACCACATGGCAAGAAGGGAGTCTTAACAAATAGAAAACGATATGTTATCAATCTTCATTTAATCATTATAACGCTAGGCGTGAATTCGGTTAACATATCCTGTCCCATCTTAATTACGTTATGTAAATGTAATCAACACTAGAATTAAACTCATGATTTCATTATAACCGACAAAGAACCTTTCGCCAGTCTAATCTCTGTAATAGAAACATCTTCACGATTTTTCGATCCGTGATGATCCGGGTAGAATAAGTCTTCAGCAACCCATGCCTGCCGTAAAAGGCGACTATGCTTGTCGTAAGAGGTGACTAACGGGATCGGGTGGTCAGGCTCGCTGACTTGGTTGATGCATGTCATCGAGCCCAATTGTGTGGATCGATGGTCATGATATTAATCACTGGATTGTCTGGTCCAGACTCGATTATTTAGAGACCGCCGTCATATAACTGGAATATTGTTGAGTGCGTCGTTAAACATCAAACAAACAAACCAATCACAATTTTTAAATACGCTGCACAAATGGGTCTCTGATATGAAGTCAAGAGAGTAGACCTGGACAAGTCTCTAAGGCAATAATTATTAGTTTAAATCATAATTTCTAGATTATGCTAATAATAAGAACAAATGGTCCCTATAAGAGACTGGAGTCCTTACTGTCCACATAACTAGACTTGCCTATTTTGAGGATAGAATTACAACACATCCCTGGACTTATCTTTCAGTACAGCCTTGGTGCAAGGCTATCAAGAGAGTAACGCTAAAAATAATTCACACGAATAATGGTTTGGAACAATTTAGAAAAAAAGGTCAGTTGTGGATAAAGAAAAGATTGCATTTAATTGACCATTAAATTCTATCACACACAGACGTAATATGGTGTTAGTGTGTGTCTTCGGTGACTCGAGGGTTGCCGTATTGCATGTATGAAGATATGATCATAATAGCAGTGGATTGAAAGTCATGTGTGGTGTATTGCACATTCTATGGCACGATATATGCCTAACAACATAACATTTAAACTTATGGAGCTTAATTTACGGGTTTCCGGCAAGGATTTCAAAAGGTGTTCGTGTTTCTTCCGAGGAAGTTATTTTCAGAATCATAGGCCTGGTTGACACCTATCCCGGCATGCAATGCATGCGTCTGAAGTACGTGTTTTCAAGCACGTTCGAGTTGCGTCATATCTCCTGCTTATCAACGCTGTTAGCTTCTCGTTGAGCGTGTGTGTACTGTTACTATGCGAACTGATAAGCCTTAGACGTGACAGCGTTGTTGGGACGATCTGCCAAACACAAGTACAAACTGCATCGTAATTCACCCCAACAGGGCTGTGAATTGCCGCTCGTGTAAACTGCAATTTGACGATGACAGTTATTCAAACAAAATGCCAAGATAGTGCTCAGGAGAATTTGTTTATTCCCACGAACAATTTCAAAAGAATTTCAAAAGGTGTTAATGTAAGAAAATTGTGGGAATTATATCCCATTGTAACCTTGTTAACAAATAACACGATATGCTGTTTAATACGAACGATATTGTCCTGGAAGAATCGGATCGATATGGTCAATATGTATCGTCACTCCGCTTGTCTCGAATTACGGATAACATGAAGTGTTTTAAGATATAACGGGTTTCGAGTTAACGTGGTGTTGCGGTATGTTTGAATAAAAGCAATAACAGAGGTTTTTTTCAGAATCATAAGAAATCTGTGCTAAATCAGAACGACTACATCATGATCATGAGTTTATGAATCACTATCATTTGTTTGTTTGTTTGTTTGTTGTTTAATGTCGCACCCAGCAATATTCCAGCTATATGACGGCCGTCTGTAAATAATCGAGTCTGTACCAGACAATCCAGTGATTGACATCATGAGCATCGATCTACGCAATTTGGATATGGTTACATGCATCAATCAAGTCAGCGAGCCTGACCACCCGATCCCTTCAGTCGCCTCTTACGACAAACATAGTCGCCTTTTACGGCAAGCATGAGTTGCCTAAGACATATTCTACCCCGGATCTTCCCGAGTTGAATCACTATCAAATGATGGGGTAGCCTAGTGAAGGCCTCGATCGACACACACCGATGGCCCGGTTCGATTCCCCAAATGGTTACACTGTGTGAAGCTCATTTCTGGGCTATTATTATTATTAGTAGCAGTAGTATTAGTAGTATTAGTTGTAGTAGTAGTAGAGGGGTTCGCGAATATGTATTAACATGTATTTACGTATTACAGGCGATGACCCTCCCGACAACGTGACCGACGAGGGAGGAGGGAAAGACCTATCCCCCGACCCTTCCAGCAAAAGACAAGCGTACCGCTACAGTGTCCCCCACCGTTGGAAGCGCGCCCTGGCGCCCCCGGACTCGCCCAGGATGAAAAAAGCCCTCAACCGCCTGTCCTGGTCTGGGGAAAACACGTCCCCCCCGGGCCAAGACGTCTCCAGAACCTCGCCAGACTTCGGTGACTCCAGGGATGTCTCCAACACACTGCCCAGGAGAAGACCTTGCTCAATGTCTGGAGTTCCTGTGTACGAGACCCCGGTGCCGGAGAAAGGGCGTAACGGTTTCCAGAATGGGGGCGTTGGCTATGATGCCTCCAGGGTGGAGATGAATAGTGCTGGGGGTAGCATGGTACCCCCGTGCAACGCGCTGCCCAGTGCGAGGTCGTACTGTCTGTTCAAACAGCCAAAATCTGTGCCTTCTGATTTCGGGTCTCAAGCCGGCCGAAGACACGACTCTTTTGAAAGTGCTCAGAGAGACACGCATGATGACTGCAAACATCTTCGGCGGAGTCAAAGCGACAACACGACGGAGGCGTCGCGGTATAGGAAGTTTGATATTGTGGGAGAGAGCTTTGATGCAAGGTACCCTTGGCAGAGGGATGTGTCAGTTCAATGTGATATGAGTTATTGGAAACAATTCCAGAAACACAACCACCCAAGCAGTGAACCCTCTAAATCTGGACTTATTGACAAAGATAATTCTCTGGGATCTTCTATGACGAATGTGTGTCTGCGAAGAAGGGATAACTTTGCCAACAGAGGGAAGCCAAGGCCTAATTCAATAGGTCCTATTGATAACTGCAAGTTTCAGAACGAGTTGGCTCGATTTAGAGATGGCTACACACGCCGAGGACGAAAATCCGAGCCTTCTCTTGGTTTGTTCCAATCGCCACCGCCCAACCGAACACGACTACCATTGGTCCTCTCCGATGACACGGGGTCAGTGTCCGACCTTGAATCCATCCTAGAGAACCCGGATGATTTTGAGTAAGTATAATTTATATATGATTTCGTACTCCTGACTGCCTGAATGTATATATGTATGATCATACCATAGCTATTGCATGTGCAACCAAAACAATTGAAGCAATTATCACGCTTTTTACTTTGTCAAAGAGAAGATACAGCTGACCCCGTGAGGATGCTAGGTTATATGCTGTTCGTAAGAGGACCAGTGGATCGGGTGGTCAGGCACGGTGACAATGTTGATATCCCGACTGTGTGGATACCAATCACTGGATTGTCTGGCCCAGACTCGAGTATTTACAGACCGCCGTCAAATAGCTGGACTAATGCTGAATTCAGCGTTTAACAACAAACAAACAAACACAAGATCCCCATAAACTCAACTGCATAAAACTTACAGAACTTTTTCATAATCTTTAGAAATCTTTCGATTCCCCACATGGGAATAATGTGTGAAGCCCATATCTTGTGTCTCCCGCCGTCATATTGCTGGAATATTGCTGACAGCGGCGTAAAATCATACTCACTCACTCACTCACTGCTAAAAGCAGATTCCAATGTTTAATTTCGACAACAAAATAATTATAAGTTTAAGAAGCACTATGAAATAGTTAGAGAAAACGTGAGCGTACCCTGCCCCACTGGCACCCATCACAAACACATGCAAAGGCAAATCAATTGTCCACCTGAATAACCTGAGCGTGTAGTACAAGTGAAAATGTGGTCACTGATGCGTCAAATTTTGGAAATGTTCTCCACATGTCTACCACACAACTTTTTAAAGCTTTACGGAGGCATGAAATGCTGAAGACCTCCTCAGCAAACAACTTTTGAGCGAGAGTCGTATGAAGATTTTTGAAATTTTCATTGAAAGAGCATGCTCGATAGTACCTCAAGATGAAAGTAAAATGTTGACACCAAAAACTGAAGCTCGACATAAAGGGAAAGTTGACTATTGTTGAAGTAATCACTCTTGTGTTGTGGACAATATGTTGTCAATCTGAATGTTTATGCATAGATCTAACTATAAAACAGTTATATTTTTTTATTTTAAGTTTAGCGGATAAATCAGTGGAAGGGAATTGAAATTCTTATTTGACAAATGTGATCAGATCGTCCATATACCTGATACTTACTGTAAACGTCTTTGCTGGATTCCCGTGTGTTGATGTTGTCAGAAATTCCGATTCATTTGCATAAAGAAAGATATCTGCAAGGAGGGTAGCACTCATCTGCTTGCCTAAATATCCCGTCCTTACATTTCCAAACCTAGTGAGTGAGTGAAACCTATGATTGTGGGTTCGAATCCCGGTTCGCCCCGATTATGTTTCTAGTTTTGTCAGCACCATACCCGTTCTCGTGGCTTTCACCGAAGTGGTAAACGTCTGAGACCTGCATCACTTCGGGAGTTTCCTCCCACATTAAGCTGACACGCCGCGATATAACTGGAATACTGTTAAAAGCGCGTTAAACCCTCACTCACTAACAGAAGAGGCTACAATTAAGTACACTGGAGGTATAGTGCTGACAGACAAGGTGCTGGTTATTGTGACACCAGCAATAAGGCTATCAAGATGTCCATAGAGGTTAAAGGCGTGACAAAAAATCAAAGAAGTTGTTATCTATAAAAAGTGTCATCAACTCATGTTCTTCCAACTTCTAAATGACTATCAAAGGTTTCATCTCGTATGAACTTCGCTGAAGCAAGAATTGGGTCCGAAGGCCGTCTGCGATATATTTGTAAAAGTATTTCCATGTAGTATATGAAATTAATATTTATCTCAATAACATATGAGCTGCGTTACTTGCATCAACCCGTGAAGATCCGGGGTAGAACAGGTCTTCAGCAACCCATGTTTGTCGTAAGTGGCAACTATGCTTGTCGTAAGAGGTGACTAACGGGATCGGGTGGTCAGGCTCGCTGATTTGGTTGATGCATGTCATTGTACCCCAATTGCGTAGATCGATGCTCATGATGTCAATCACTGGATGTCTGGTCCAGAATCGGTTATTGACAGACGGCCGTCATTTTGCTGGAATATTGCTGAGTGCGACGTTAAACACAACCAGATAAACATTGCACTCAAAAGATCCCGTCACGTTTACAATGAATGAACAAAGAATAGTAATGGATACGTCCTACTTAGTGCGTTGATTAGATGATAAGGGTGCTTCATAGTTAGACGAGATACTTATGAGGAAAAAGGTATTTTGTTGCTTTTTCGTATTCAGATTGCGTGAGGATAATCTCTGCTTTCAGTCCAGACTTGCCTGTGTTGACTGAATGTTTATATTGTTGTATTGAACAGCTCTGTCGCTTTCTGGCTGGTCGCAGTATTTCAGTTTGTGTTTGCCCCGGAAAGATGTTATTTTGATAAATAATTTGTTAACGAAATACCGTATTTTTGGATATTTGAGAACATATTGCCATATGTTGCAGCATGGGTTTCTTTTTAGCTTCTGATCCATGAGGGGCACAAGAAAAAAGTATTCCGAGTTTGGTTTATGTAATTCAGAAGTGAAAGGACTGTTAAATTTGATTATGTCTTGATATAGTCGGAATGGTACTGTTGTAAATCGGAATCGAACAATTGAGTGAGTGAGTGAGTTGGGTTTAACGCCGCTTTTAACAGTATTCCAGTTATATCACGTCGTGTCAGCTTGATGTGGGAGGAAAGCCCTATGTGATGCAGGTCTCAGACGTTTACCACTTCGGTGAAACCCACGAGCACGGGTATGGTGCTGACAAACCTAGAAACATAATCGGGGCGAACCGGGATTCGAACCAACAATCATAGGTTTCTGGCGTGCCCAAGGGACGCAGCTATGCACAGCGAATCGCGGCGCCTTAGACGACTGGGCCACCCGTGCCCCCTTGTACAATTGAATCTATATTTGGCAGAGATTTGCTATGAATATGGAAAGGGCTTTGGCGCTTTTATTATAATATTTAATAAATACTCATTCCTGTAACAGTTTGTAAAATCTGTGGCTTGGTAATTTTGTTCAGTGAGGATTTGGGTAAGAAATTAATATGAACCCGTGAAGACCCGTGGTAGGATAGGTCTTCAGCCGTGAAAGGCGACTATGCTTGTCGTAGGAGGCGACTAACGGGTGGTCAGGCTTAGTTAATGCATGTCATCGCATCTCAAATACGTTGATCGATGCGCATGATGTCAATCACTGGATTGTCTGGTCAGACTCGATTATTTACAGACCGACGTCAGATAGCTGGAATACTGAGTGCGGCGTTAAACAACAAACAATCAATCAACGATGAATATAATATAATCAACTGAGAGGTCAAGTTTCTTTTGTTCCTCAGTTTAGAACAGAACTGCTATTTTCAACATGACGTCTCACGCCCGCCAATAATAGCATCACAGGCTTTGTCATTGTGTTTTGCTGTTTCACTTCAGCTAGATTAGGGATGCTACAGATGGGATTGTGAATGTCAACATATTCAAATTGGAATTCATTTTCGGATTAATAAGTTCACTCTGATTCTTTTCTGACTCGTAAACTGTCAATTACTGGTACACGTCATGGCGGGAGAAAATATCCTTAATGCGCTTGCTTGTCATAATTCAACTTGTTGAGAACACATTACTTAAACGTCTTCGTTTAAAGTTTGAATTGCAACTGTTTGAAGATTTAATTTGGGAATTGGCCCTATGAGCTAATTTAAATGTGCTGAGCAGTTTGGATGCACACATGTCAATGTAAAACATCTGGTTGTTTTTAATTTCCATTAGTGGAGTACAGTTTTTTAAAGCTAATTAGGCAATACGCATTAATTAAACACAAAGGTTCAGACATGCACTGGCAAGTACATGTATTTTTTTCCAAACTCCGGGAAACGTTATACCGTTGGGACTCTGGTTAGGTTATTTTACCAGTACTCTGCTCCATGTGGTACGGGTCGACTCAATTGGCTCGCCTAGTTTGGCTGGCTTCTTGGAAGTGTCTCTTCTCTGACTGACAATGGTCGGTTGGTGTGCCTCGTTCTGCACTGGTTAATCAGTGACTGGGGGTATGGAGCGGGAGGTAATTGAGGATACATTCACAGAATGGAACAGACTCAACAGGAGCCGAGCGTTAATTGTCTTATGTGTTCACGGGAACGTTTGACAGTACTTTAAGTGAAACCAATGGCTCTGTCAAATAGATGGGATTTAGGCAATGCTCTGTAGGGTTTCACCCAGTAGGAAAACAAGGCCTTTGGGGAATTAGCGAAACAGTGTGGTCCCTGGCGTGACGAGCGAACTCTTTAACCATCACCGCAAGAAGATTCGAGATATACTAATTATAACAGTATTCTATTCTCCAATTGAGTTTAACAGAATAATACTTCAAACACGTCAAAAGTTGAAACGTATGAATTTAATATCATACAATGGTCCACCTTTAGAATTCAGGCGTTCGTCCCACAAAATGATCGTAGTGCTAAGGCTATCACAACTCACATAAGTTAACTTAGACTAACGACTGTCGTTGCGCTAGAGTACGATTGCCTTGTGGAACGGGGCCTTGCACCTCAAAGTTTACAATGACGTCACAATACCCGATGACGTAATTTGTTGAATTTTGTTGCAAGATCTATCGGCGAAACAATGCTATGTGACGTCAGCCTAGCAACAAGGTTGCTGGGGTCATCGAGTGTGCATAAGCTCCTCCCAGTGATCTATCATCTCCACACACAATTCGTTGAATACGCCAAGGGATGTTGAGAGCTTTCAATATTTGTTCGTGAAACGTGTTCCGAGAGTACATAAGCACGCGTTTTGGTATTACACAATGTGTAATAAAGCTGAATGTTTATTAAACGGGTGATCTCTTCACGGGCAAGTAATAAATACTAATAACAGTATTCTATTCTCTGTAGTTTCTGAGTCAGTGAGATTCTAGTGTTTTCGTTAGCTGTTAGACGAGCTTTATATTTCCGTATAGGGGCAAGGGAACACCGGAGCCCTATATGTACTAAAAGCGACTGGAAATCCTGCGACCGCCTCCGTGGTCTA